AGCATAAGACTTAAGTTTTTACCAACTTCAAAAGATATATGTAAGCATGAAGACAATGCATTATCTCATCCACTAGCTAAATTAACTAAATTGTCTTTTTTCATAAAACTAACCAAAATAAAAGACACATTTGAACTGCTACACCTTGATATTTGGGGACCTTATAGAATATGTACACATAATAGAGCCAAATACTTCCTCATAATAATTGATATTTACTCAAGGGGAACATGAACATTCTTATTAAACTTCGGTAGTAATGCTAACACCACTATTAGAAATTTTTTTCACCTTATAAAAACTCAATTTGCCAAAACCATCAAGAGAATTAGAATAGATAGACCAAGAGATTTTTTGAACCATGAATGCAAATAATTTTTGGAAGAACAAGGAGTTATTCGTGAGAGTACCATACCTTATACGCTACAACAAAATGAAAGGGTAGAAAGGAAATATAGACACTTACTTAGTGTTGCTAGATCTCTTATGTTTCAATCAAATATGCTAATAGAATTTTAGAGATATTGTATTTTAATAGCTACATATTTGATAAATAAAGTTCTTACTCCACTCTTGAATTAAAAAACTCCATATGAAATGATTTTGGAAAAAATACCTAGGATAGATCATTTGAGAGTTTTTTGAACTCTTTGTTATGCCAAAGCCTTGAATAACTCGACAAATTCAATCCAAAATCAAAACCATACGTATTTATTGGATATCCTTTTGGACAACCAGGATATAAGGTTTATGACATAGAGTAAAAGAAATTTTCTATATCCTCTTGGACAACCGAGTCATAAGTTTATGACATTGAGTCAAAGAAATTTTCTATGTCTAGAGATATATTATTTTATGAAAACGTATGCCTTTTTAAGTTGAAAACAAAAGATTCAGCTCAAAATAAAAACTATTTCAATGATTTTTTATTTGATGAATCATTTCAAGTGTCAAATCTCTAAACCATATCTTCCGATATTATTACATAAACACCATTTACTTAATCACCAAACAATTTTTTCCAACCTAAAACACAAGATTCTTCATCTTTTTTCTCCCGAACATGAATCACAAAATGAAATGAATCTTAAAACATCTACTAAGATAACCCAACCACCGAGTTTGGTCAAGTGACTATCGGTGTCCTACAATCCACGAAAGTAACTCAATCAAGCACAAAAAGAAAGCCAACTATCTCATCATAAATTATATCACTTATGAGCACTTAACACCCACATACAAAAGCCTATTTATCAACCTTAGCCAATGTTACAGAACCAAACAATTAGCATGAGGCTAAAAAGGATCCTAAATGGGTTAAGCTATGCTTGGAAGAAATGTAAGCACTTAAGCTTAACGTGACTTGGGTTTTAGTGACATTGCCAAAGGGAAATAAACCAATAAGGTGCAAATGGGTGTACAAGGTAAAGTGTAATTCGGATGAAGGCATTGAAAGGTATAAAGAAAGGTTGGTTGCTAAGGGATACACTCAAAAGGAGAGAATTGATTACAAAGAGACCTTTTCACCGGTTGCAAGATGGTAACGATGCGGTCTATGATTACTTTAGCTGCTATCAAAGGTTGGGGACTTGTGGATGTAACAAATGCATTTCTACGGGGAGACATAAATGAAGAAGTATATATGACAATTTCAAAATGTTTTAAAGTTGAGAGGGAGCAAAAAGTATGTAAGTTACTCAAGTCCTTATATGGCTTAAAACAAGCTGAAGACAATGGAACATCAAGTTCTATGAGGCTATGTTACAAATAGGATTCAATTAATCACTTAATGATTAGTCTCTCTTTATGAAGAAGAATGATGACAAAATGGTTATTTTACTTGTGTATGTAGATGACAGAATCATCACTCTGTAAATGACGAGGAAGAAATAACGACCTTGAAGAATTTCTTGCATAAGAAATTTCACATAAAGGATTGTGGTGACTCGAGATACTTCTTAGGGACGGAGATAATATGATCAAAGGAAGGAATATGCTTAACATAAAAAAATATATATATATCTTGAAACTACTTGAAGAGATTGGGATGATGAATGCGGGACCTCTAGACATACCTATATAGTAGGACTTAAAGCTCATTATAGCATAATTTGATGAGGGGTCCAAAAAAGAAAGGAGATAGCGAGATCCTTCAAGTTATCAAAAGCTCATAGGAAAACTCATTTATGTGGCCATCACCATACTAGATCTTTCCTATAGTGTGTAACTCTTAAGTTAATTTATGCATAGGCTGAAATAATCTCATTTGGCAGCAACTTACATGTTTTTAAGATACCTAAAAGGAGATCCGAAATGAGATTATTAATGTCATTTACAAGCTAGCTGAAACTAAAAGTATACTCGTGACTCGGACTAGGCATCATGTTGTATGACTAGGAAATTAGTTTCGGGATTTCTCATTAAATTAAGAGATTCTATAATATAATGAAAGACAAAAAAGCAAAGCACCATTTCTAGATCATCGGTTGAATTAGAGTATAGAGCCATTCAAATGCGGTATGTGAAATCATGTGGATAGTGAGACTATTTGAAGATTTGAGGGAAGAAAAAATAAAGCCTACAATATTATTTTGTGATTATAAATCATCTTTATTCATAGCCAAGCAATTCGAGTTTTTCATGAACGGATAAAATACATAGATATGGATTGTCACTTAGTAAGGAAATAACTCAACAAAGGTTAATTATCATACAACACATATCTATTGAAGAACAACTAGCGAGACCTTCTTACAAAGGGTCTCGGCAGCAGACAACATAAGCATTTATTGAGCAAGTTTGGGATTAGCATCATATATACTAACCTCAAACTTGAGGAGTGTTAAAATATACATATGTAGGATATGTGTGAAGAATAGGTGTATGTAAAAATGCATAAGATGCGTTACAAGAGGAACAAAACAGAGTCTTTTGTAACTAACCATACACAACAGGTGTTTGTTACAATGTTTGTATCACACGTAGCCACGAAGATTGCAACGGCTTGCCACTTATTGATCGATCAAAGAAGCTAGGAGAATGAATGCACCTCGGGACCTAGAGCAATCAATGACCGGCACACAAAAAATAGCAAAGTTAGGAATTTTTTTTTTAGTTTCTTTGTAAAGCATAATAATGTACATCTGCTAGTATATTTAACTTATAAGAGTAGAATGTAAACGTATGATTTTCATATCATCAATGAGAAGAACATTTTCTTCCTTTCTTTCTACATTTTAACAACAAACTTATTGCTAACGACTTATAAATATTTGTCCAAACTTGTGATGAACTATCTCATCCTAAAAATTTAATTTAAACAAAAAAAGACATAAAAAATCCATTAAAAGAAAAAAAAACTACATCCGACATATTCGGTAGGAATGCTTTGATAAAAGAAGCTAACATAGTTTCTTATTGAGCTTTAGCTCACCTTTTGTCTTGTGGTGTACGTGAGCAAAGTGATAGAATGTTGTAAAGTTGAAGTTATTGTTATTAAAAGTCACGTTTGCCAAAGTGTGTACTATAAATGTAGATTTAAAGTTGAAAAGCTAAACATTACTTATGTTTCATGTATTTGGTCACATTTATGTTTCTTGCATTTAATCATTTTGGTTTCTAAACTTATGTTACTTTTAGACAACTTTAGTATGTTAATGACTATATGAGTTTTAATGGATAATGAAATAGTTTTCATTTATGTTAATAAATTGGTTTTTAATATGTTAAAATAAATTGTCATGAACTTTAAACTAAAGGTCTTCCATTGGGCATTGTATTTTATACACGAGGTAGAAGATATAAGGCTTAATATCTTGCTTTCATTGCACTATGAGTGGGAGACATTGTCGATAGCATTCTCGACCTCCCTTTAGGCCGGAGTTATTGCATAAATAATGAACATACACATCCATTAAAAAAAGTGTATGTACAAGTAGATCTTTGAACAATGAATTTTAATTCAATCAGAAGCTTTGTTTAATATAAATACAAAAATACTCTTGTTTAGTCCTATGTGATTCATCACTTAATAGCATGTAAACAATTCATTGAAGATGTATTTAAGGCCTATGGTGGTATCAAAAATTGGTTCTTTAAAATCTTTAGATTTTCTGTCACTTATTTCTATCATCAAGTGGATTTTCTGTCACTTATTTTTAACAATCAAAATTTGATATTGCACATTAACAACTATAAAATAATTTAGAAATCAATTAATGACCTTTATCTGTTTCCATCTGCATATTTTGGTATAAAATACTATCAGACAAAATAATAATAATAATAAAACATTCATTAAAATCGTATCGTAACCTACATCCCATTGGTTCTCCTAGTATGCCAATTGGCAAAATTTATTGGGATTTTATGGGCTTGCATACAACATTTTTTGGGCTATTTCGATAAACAATCCCAACAAATTTGGCATCGGCATGTGAGAAATTACCAAACTTTTGTTTCACAAAGAGTTTTTCGCTTATTGGAAAACTTACGCACAGGAGTTGGTTGCTCCCAAACTATGTCTAACAGCGACTTTATGGAAGGAATCTCAGCTTGCGCCTAAGAATTCATACCTGTCCCTGCTTGGTTCTGGCATGAAAAATTGGATTTGCCCTTAACTATGTTGCACTTACTTTATCACACAATAGACGAGGAGTTTCCATATAGATTAAACACCTTGCTCATTCATTTGCACCTATTTTCTTTGGTTTTTTCAGAATGATTTTACGCAGGAAATGTACTGATAGAGAATAAACAGAGAAGAAAGCAATGGATATATGCCAAAATAAGATTCCATAAAAGAGTTTCACTCAATTAAATCGTAGCTACATATTTAAACTGATCTATCAAGATTCAACTCATAACATGTGATGTCATTAGGGAACAATAGCAGGAAGCTGAACTTATTAGCACGAATCCAGTGATAAGAAATAAACAACAAAATATATGCTATCTACCTCAACTAACATTTAATCGAATACAACCCAGAACCCCTCATGTCAATTCCTACCTGAAAATGAAGAAGCTGTTATATATAATGCACCTGCAAGAAGTGTTGCCATAATGGTGGTTTTGGTAGGCATTTTCCCCTTATCATTTCTCAAAGCGATAGCTTCATAAATTGGAAAAGAATTCACCACAGCAAAACCTGATATGAACAACTGCACAAATAGTTCCTCCAAATTGTCTCCTCTGTAAACTTCAATAAGTCCTTGGACTAATGAGATTAAATTAGTTATGGCTGCCATTGTTAGGGTCACAAACATGGGCGAATGCACCCCAAATTCAAACATCCCTTGTTCATATCGTTTACTCTGTTCATCATCAAGTACTTTGCTCGTAACGTTAAAGCCAAATGCTGAAATTCCCAAGAATTTGAGGAAAAACTCCAAAGAACCAAATAAACAACATGTCACTCCTTTTATGTGCCAGAATCGCTGATCATTCCACCATCTCTGGACTGACCCACCGACTAAGACAAAATCAAGACAGTCTTGCCCATAGGCCCCCAAGAAAAGAAACGCATACAAGAAAAACCATGGCTCTGAAATCTACAAGTACAACCAATGTTTCAGTTGTTATCATAAACTTAACAATGCTCACTTCTACAGAGACCACCTTAATTTGATGTTAGAAAATCAACTTTTATAATTTTTAAATGATAACAAAACTATTGTATAGTAGATAACATTAGAAGATTATAACTTTATTCATTAACTATAACAATTAGCAGTTCAATTTCTATAGAAATTCAACAAAGAAACTAATCGATAAATCACTTGAAACATGCCATTGGCCTTCAATCGCCTTCATCTCAACTTGCTATGTTTTTTTTTTTTTTTTTAAGTGATATTTTTGGAACAGCTTTGGTATATTGAAAATAAATCCGTGCCAAAATTAGAGAATTCATGAGAATTTTTGAAAAAAAAAATTATAAAGAAACTCTTGCTCGTATATTGTTTTATTTTAGAAGAAGAAAATAGCATACCTTTGGGAATATATAAACTTTGTTAAGAAGGGCTAGCTGGGGAAGGAAAGCATAAGTAGTGATTGGAATTGACCAAATGGCCCAAAATGCTAACTGTGCATAACCAAGCCCCATCAAAATACCCTTGGACCTAACACCGAAGGTTGCCGGGCTATGTTTTGAGAAGCCCACCTCAAGAAGTCCAATTGACCATCTCTTTTGTTGATTCAGGGCATCAATCAAGTTGATAGGAACATCGCCAAAAAACGCAGGCCTGTCAGGATGACAAAATATGCCTTTCCACCCCTCGCAGTGCAACCTATAACCTGTGTGATAATCCTCTACCAACGATCCATATCTGAATCCAATCTGCATATTTTAAAACTAGTTATACTACCATAAACATAACATAATGAACAAAGTCAAATATGCAAAGGGGTTTTCTCAGTTTCAACAGGCTTAGGTGTCTTCGAAATAATTTTCACATATTTGAATAATTTAGCACGTCCATTCAGTATTAGCATTGGCAGCATATGTACAGTTTTTTAAATCCTATCATTTTCAGAATTGAGAAAAAAGAAAATAAATAAAAACTCAACTTTGAAAATCTTAGAACATCAATCATGGCGTACCTTAGAGCCCCAGTTGGTATGGTTCTCATAATTGCTATTTACTCCTTGATGTGCCAGTGCCAAAATGGACTGTGATTGGATAGGCTTGTCTACGACATGGTCTGGTGATAGTTCAGGAATTTCTGGTGAGATTAGGCTTGACGGACTTCCAAAGAAAGCTCGCCGAAGAAAGAAACATCCAGTTCCAACATAATTAGGGCCCTCTATTCCATCCATTCCCATAGGATTAATTACAAACAAACGTTTAAATTCACCACAATAGATGTCATTTTTGTTGATTCCACGATATAGTTGAGGAAATTGAACATATCCTAACGTGGACCGAATTGCTGGATCGCATAAATAACACATTGCACGAAGAAGTGTTTGCGGATCATTCGAGCAGAAGTCACAATCTAGCGTCAAGATTATTGGTGCATTGGTCATGCAGCTTGATACTCGTAGCTACAGCAGCAACAAGAGAAATGTGCATTAATCTGCTGAGAAACAAAGACAAACCTTGGTATGCATAGTATGCACTAATTAAAATTAAAGATGCGTGGATGGTCTAATTTATGAACAATTACCGAATGGTTTAATCTTGAAATATATATATATATATATTAAAAAAACAATTATTGCACTTAAAGGTTTTATGATTGTTGCGGGGCATATATTCACTTACCAAGGCATTGAGGGCACCGGCTTTGAAGTGGTGAGGTAAAGCCTTGCTTTTTCCTCTAGAGACGTAGATGAGGTTTGGCATCCAATAACCAGCGACGTCTTTGTCCTTGCTAGCGTCTAGCAAAACCTGCTCATAGTTCGGAGAAATACGTAATTATCTGGATATATGTCTCGAACTATAAAGTAATTCATTATATTACAAGAACTCTTAAGTAGAAGGGATATTTATTGTTTTTTTGAACTTAACTTATGCTTTTTTTGTCTAATTACTTTTTTGCCACTTTCTTTTTACTCTCTCTTTATACTTCCTTAATCCTCTCTTTTTATCTTTTCTTTAAATCTCCTACAAATCCGTATCTAATTCAGGAAAGTCAATGACTAAAACCTAAATCTCAAACGACACATCACACAAACATCAATAGGTACATCATTTGTTACTTCAAAATTTACAAAAGACTTGAGAAATTTTATAATATTCAAATGATCACCAATAACATATACAATAGTTATTTCATTAACTTATTTAGAAGAAAGAGATAGACAAAAAAAATAAAAAATAAAAAAAAATAGAAGAGAGAAAATTTAAAAAAAAAATTAGCAAACGTGAAAATTTTTTTATCACTTTTGATAAGTCTAGATATAATTTTATATGTCTATTTTTTCTTTAAGTGAATTCATGAAATAACTATTATACATATCACTTATTACTTCTTGAGTATTATAAAATTTTATCAAAAGACTCCACCTTTTCCAACTCTTCCACTGCCAATTTCCCAAATTCTTCAACAAAAGACAACAATATACACAGCCTAGTATGGAACTAATTCATGTCTATCAAACCAATAACATTACGGAGACATTTTTTTTATTTTCCCATACGTATGAGATAATTTATAATAACGCCCATGATAATAAGTGTCTTTGTATACATTTGTCCCTTAGAAAAGCACTAACTAGCAGCTGTGATGGAAAATGCAAACCTGAATAACAGCAGGATGGTCTTGTCGTGTGAAGTTATCAGTCCACTTGTTGAAAGCCTCTCGTTCTCGGTCCCTAGTGATGTACTGATCATCAACTTTTCCTCTCTCAAGAGCATGCTCTATCTTGACTTTAATATTTTCATACATCACCTATTACATATTCATGAAACCAAGAGAATGATAAATTATTTATGGTTAATCAGATTATTCCAGCTCCAATTAAAGCCTTTGCTTTTTTTTTTTTTTTTTTGGATTGTTCACAAGCAGTAATTAAGTATTTTTACTATTTAAAACTAACCGTGCCAGAACCTACTAATCCTTACGTAGACAGACCTAATTTATCCTTTCTTTAAAAAATGTTTCTTTAAATTAAAGACAGACCTAATTTGAAGGAGTGCTACTCCTGATTACCTGTCCAATTATTTAGTAAAGATTGTGTGACATATAATGTTGACTATAAAGAGATAATGTTGACTATAAAGAGAAAAAGGACAAGGATAAGGTTAGGGACAAAGGCTATCGTCAGAGCGAGGCTGAGTAAATTATAAATTAATCCCTCTATTTTTAAAAAATTAATTAATTAATCCTCTAATTTTTTTTTATTTTCTCTAGGCTTTGTATTTATCTCTCTTAATGGAATAAGTGCTTTTTTAGTTACTATTAAAGTAACATAAAATTTATCAACCAAAACATGATTAAAAGAGGGCAGCACTAGTTAAAACTTTAGATTTTTATTGTGCATCTCTAGATTCATTAGATCTCGTCATGAAATGAAAAACAAATCAATTACTACGCTTAATTTGTGATGGTTTTGAGAATTCATGCTTCTCCTCGTTTTATTAGCTATTGTTTCTTTTCACAGCTTCTTTTCTCTAAGAGAGCTCAACTCTAACTATATTTATATTTTAAGGGGAAAAAAATTAGAAGATCCAAGCACTATGGAGTATGGATACACTATACACAGGAGGACCTTGGAAAAATGATAAATGAACATGACTAAAAACAATACGTACTATTAAGACAAAGTACTGCTGAGAAAAATAAGGAGGAGATAGACACTGCAACTATTCCTACCATCTTGGCTACAAAGAAAGAACAGAAGATAACATGTGGATGATATTCTTTTCATTCCAAAACTGTGTAAATACTATATTGTATTCTTATCTGATAAAATACTTCAAATCCTATATGTAATATATTCGTATATACCTATACAAGGATGTGTTAAAGTCCAAGTCAGAACACAAGCGATTATATTTCTTTTCCAACTCAAAACTCTGTGTTTCAAATCGTACGTAATGAACAAAAAAAATCTCACATATATGTAGAAACATGGTTATTTATTATGAATGAAAACGTCATTTTATAGTATCTTACCTTAATCTTTTCAGCCTCAGAGGTATATCTGTGGTGATTTAATTCAAAATATGCCTCAGGGCTCCTCTCTAGTATATTATTCTTCTTGCAAAATGGTAACCAGTGTGTAGCGAACTTAGCAGCCTCCAAGAAAGCAAAGAGAGTCAAGGCTGAGCCTCCATCATCAGATACATAGACTGAAATCTTCTCAGTTGGATAGTCATAAGCCATAACTGATAAAGCCGTATTCACTACACCTATTGGTGGCTCCTTGTATGGATCAGCAGTGCATATAAACACATCCAAAGCTGGAAAATCACTTCTTTTCATGACTTTTTCGACGTTTTCAGGGAATTGTTTACGACAGACTGGACGCATGCGAAAAGTCTGTGTGTTGATCCACATGAATGTAAGGACAAGGTCAGAGACTAACAAGGCGAGGGTTATAGAGCAAGAGACTAAAGTTGTTGAGTAGAAGAGTGTTTTTGCATGGTAATAGAGTAGAGCTAAAATGGCAAGAGCATAAATTGTTGCAAATACACGGTTGAAAATTGTTATACCCATGGGCTTAACCGTGTGAAGAGGAGGAGGGACACCAGCGGTGGCGGCTTGGGTAGTGCCGGATCTGTTTAGATGACCCCCCATATTTCCTGGTGGTGCTGCGTCCCAAGATGACAATAGGTACGTATAAAGGTCTTTATTTATAAACCAGAGCGAACGAGCAAGTGAAGACGTACATACAAGTTTAATTAATTTACTTCTTTTGTAAACGAAAAATAATAATAATAATAAAGTCGATAAATTGAGTGGTTGAGGAGAGGTATGGCCTGCTGATCTCACAATTGCGACCATGAAAATTCATGTAGTTTTCAAAATAATAATAATAATAATAAATGCATCAGTGGTCTATGTACTTTATAGTAATTAAAAAGAAAACAGAGAAACGAACAAAAAAGGGATCATACCAGTACTGTGCACACGCTGCAAATTGCTATTGGTAGTGGTCCTCCTTGAATTTTGGAATGATAGCTATCCACGTGGAGACTAAGTAACTCATGACATTTTATTTCATAAATGTATGAAAATTATATTATAGTGGTTTAAAAAGAAGCCCTTTTAATCACGAGACTAGCAAACAAACAAGCATTGCTAATTTAGGAAATTGTTTGTTTGGTAGTTTCTTTTTAATAAAATAAATTCGAACCAAAATAATTTTAATTTATTTATTATTTATTTGATTATTTTATAATATAGTAAAGTTACTTGCAATTGTATAATCCAAAATCAGACAATCTTTTGATTAAAAAAAACTATAATACTATCTTACTCAACTTTATTAGTTTATGAAGTTGAAAATGGGTAATAATTGGCCAAATTTCAATGCAAATATTTAATACGAATGCTCTCCAGCACCAATCCAAAGTTGGACTTGGATGGGGAGAACTTGATCCAAAAGCTAGAATATGGCACGTTCCCATGCCCATGGGTGATGTGTTTCTCTATAATTATGTTATGCATACATTCTGTGATAACATGTCTTAAAAATAAAATTAAGTAATTTATATGTTTTTTAGATTAAAAAAATAGTTATAAGTTAATTATAGATAATTACTTTTTTAGTATAAATTAAAAATCTAAATTTTTGTTAGAAAATAAAAATTAGTACCCAATCCTATACAAGAATAAGAAAAAGAATAAAAATTTAAAAAAAAAAAAAACCAAAAAAAAAAAAAAGGACAGCCATTTTGTTCCCCAGTGCCTCACTTCTTCTCCTCTCTTTCTCACCCAAAAAACTCTCTCTACTTCCTCTCATTTCCCTCGTCCATTTCTAAGTTAAAGTTTTACCTAAATACCTTAGAAATTCAAGAAAGTTAGATAATTAAAGTGAAATTTAACTACATTAAAGCTTGAGAGACTTAGAGGGTTGTAGGATTGAAGTTGAGGTTTGAAGATCATTTATCAAAGTAGATATTTTTGTCATTTAATCTTAAAACTAATATGATTATATGAGTTTATTGATGATTTTAAAATTGTTTTGTATTGGATTTGTTATTGGATTAAAAATTGAGTTAGGTTAGGATTATAAGTTGAATTGAATTTAGGGATTTGATGATTTAACAATTAATCATGATAATTGATGCTTGAAGTGAGATAATAGTAGTGTGAAATTGATTAATGGACTATTGATTTGAGAAATTCTTAAGTCGATTGGGATGATGAATTATAGAGATAAGTTGTGATAAAATTTGAATTGAAAATTAATGATGAATTGTAGAGATAAATTGTGTAAAAATTTGAATTGAAAATTGATGATGGATTGTAGAGAAAAATTATGTAAAAAATGAATAGAAATTTGATCATGGATAATTGACTATAGCAAAGTATAAATTGGCTTGTCGAGAGAATGATTGTTGAAAGAACTTGGGATATAGTTGTTAGTTAATTGTCTAAAATTAATTGAAAGAGTAAGAATTTAATTAAAAATCCTCAATTTTAGTCTTTCCGATAAATTTCATTCTTGTAAATTATCTTGTTTTTCGATTTCTATAATAATTCATTTGATGTCAAATTATTCTTTGATATGTGATATCAATGATTATTCAATCATTTTGTATTATTATCTTCTTCGAAGGGATAAGTCTATTTTAGCAATCTTGACTTTGTTTTATTATCCGATTTCACTATAAGTGAATAGTATATAACATAACACGTTTTCAAGTTTTTTTTTCCTTCACACGTCATTGATTTAAATATATCATAATTGCATCAATTATAACTTAAATGGAAATAAACTCTTTTTTAAGATGAGTGGCCATTGATGAAGTTTTAAACATCAACCCCCAAATGAAACTTTTTAAGATGTAAGCGTCTTACATGTTCATTTTGACAACCTCAAGAAATGTTATAAAAGAGAGATGGTGGAAAAATTAATTCGATATCAAATTATAAGTAATGGCCTTTAGTTATTTATTTATTTATTTTCTATCATGATAAGATTTTTTTTTAATTCATTAATTCAAAATTTTTAATAAAATTAATCTATCAAAATTTAAATTTATAATTTTTTATTATAAAAAATTACTATCATTAGATTACGAGCCATGTGATCATGATAAGATCATATTCATAAACGCGTGAAGAGTAAGGCTGGTGGAAAAAACTAATCCAATATCAAATAAAATAAAAATAAAAATAATAACAGTTTGAGAATGGATGACTTACAATTATAAAATAAAAAGGCACAAACCCTTTGAAAGACAAATTCATATAGTAAAGGATGACCTACTCGTTTCAATCAATGTAGTGTTTTTTACCCTTTTTTTCTTTTTTTTCTCCTCTCCCTTCTTTCCTCTTCTCTTGGTAAAACTTGAACAAATGCGAATTGATTGATGTAAACAAACTTGTCAGCAGACCGCAAAATCAACATAAAATCTTCAGCCGCCATAAAAAAAAAACGAAAAACTACTATGATATCAACCGGAAAACCAAAATATTAGTATTTAAGTTACTATTTATGATTTATCTACACCAACAATTATATCCTCATACTGACATTTTATAAACGCGACAAAGCTCTTGCTACCTGTCCTTTGACAGTTGACGAGACCTATTAGTTTTTATTATCATGCATTGCTCAGCATATAATTTCTTCCTTTTATTTAATTTTTTTTCCTTGCGTTTTCAATTTTCAACAAGTTTGTGGTAAGCGGGGCTCTCTATATGCAGCAAGCATGAATCTATCGTTACTCTTCTGCCGTATAGATAATCTTTCTGTGGTCAACAAGGCGTCTAGACTGCAAAGAATAATAATTTTCATTATCTTATAGTTACTAACTAGTTAAATACCCAACGTAAACAACTATTATATATAAAATTAACGATTTGTATTATGTATTATGAATGAAAGTGTTATTTTTAATAATTAATATAAATTAAATCTATATATTAAGCGAAATCATTTAATTTATATATATTTATTAATAAAATATTTAATAATATTAACATAAAAATTTATATTTGAATAATTAGAAGGTTCTTTCAAAACATTATCTATTTTATTTTATTTTTAAAAAATTTAGAATATAAAAAAATAAATAACGGATAATTGATATTATATGTACGGATATATTGTTAATTTCTATTAAAACTAATGAATATATATATTTAACATATTCAAAGTATATAGAATAAATAAAAAAATATATATAAAAAAAAACTCACCTAAATTGTATGAAATATATTGAAGTCAATAGACTAAAATAAAAACTACAACAAAATTAGTTCGATAAATTCTGAATAAATATATATAAAAAACGAGTATATAGAATAAATTGAAAAATATATGAAAAAAATCAACCTAAATTGTACGAAACATATTGAAGTCAATAGATTAAAATAAAAACTACAACAAAATTGGTTCTGCTAAATTTCGAATAAATATATAAGAAAAAAATAAAACTTGGGATTTTTTCATGGATTATTAATTTTTTTAAAAAAAAATTGAATCAAATTATTTAAAACATACTTTTAGCTCTCCTCCTCTCTCTTTCTCTCTCTCACTAAATTGTATGAAATATATTGAAATCAATAGATTAAAATAAAAACTACAACAAAATTGATTTTGATAAATTTTGAATAAAAATATATATAAAAATAAAACTTGTGAATTTTTTTTAAACAATTAAACTAAATGATCTAAAATATACTCTCAACTCTCTCTCTCTCTCTCTCTCTATATATATATATATATATTATCATAATTTATAAACTATAATAATATATTTTAAAAAATAAAACATTCATTTAAAAAGCATAAAAATAATTTATTGTATAAATTATAATAATATATTTTTTAAAAATAAAACACTAACGTCTTAAAATTTTATTTTAAATTCATATATTAAAAAATTTAAATTTATTAACAAATAAAATTATATCAAAAAATTAATTTGATAATTAAGTTAATTAAAGTGATAAAAACCATGCTAATTATTGCTAAAATCTTGTCTAGAATTACCAAGTTTTGGTGTTCTGTTTCCCTTCAAATCTTATAAATGATGAATCAACACGCAAAGAAAACGTACAGGCAGTCTCCAAGCCCCATGTGTCTCTCCTGGTAGTTGGCATGATTAGGCACTCTAATGTACCAAGAGCGATTTTGGCAGCATTAGACTTTTTCTAAAATACTGATACCACGATCAATACTCTTGTCAATAGGACCAGAAACGTCAAATATGTTGACGCTTTCAACACAGGTGTGTGTGTGAGAGAGAGAGAGCGAGAGGGGGGGGGGGGGGGGGGGGGGGCGGCGGCGGGATGCGTTTTGGGGTGGTGTGGGGGCACTGTTAGTACAAAAAAAAAATAGGGCTAAGTGCGAGCTGCAGGACACACCAACGAGCCAGGCAGCCGGCCATTCAACCCAGGTTTTAAAAAAAAGAAAAATTACTACAGTAAATGAATAGGATAACATCAAATCTTTTAGTTTTTTTTAGTAATAATTATTAAAACTGCATCGTTGCTCCCAATATTTCTAGTTGTACGAGGGACCAAACAAAATTTAAAGCTTTTAACTAATGGGGATAATTATATCAATTTTTAATTAAGCATATAAAATTTATTTTTTATTTAAATTTATTAATTTATTTAAAATTATCGTATACTTTCATTAATTTTTATATTAAATAATAACTTGTTAGTTACCCTCATAATATCAAATTACAATTTTTTTTTCAATAGAGTACATAATTTATTTTTTCATTTGAGTATATTAATTTTTTTAAAACATTTAATCAAATACTTTTATTAATTTCTCTATTAACTAATAACTTGCCTGAAAATTAAATTATATTTTTTCCTCTTACGCTGTAAGAAAATTTCTCTCCATATTAATCTATCATTTTAAAATTTGAAAAAGAATATATATATAAAATTTCAATTTAGGCTTAGTTAAATTATTTTTTATAAAAAAAACCTTAGTTAGGTTTTGGAGTGAAATGAAAATATTACACTAACGAATCTTTTTGATAAAAAATCTCACATTTGTGTTTCCTTCAATTTTCGTGCTCAAAATCAAACTTTTTTTAAAAAAAGAAAATAAGTCTTACTAAGTTTAGTTAGGGATTTATAACTAAAAATAATATATTTTTTAATTCTTCATTAAGTTTTAAAATTGTAGAATAATTTAAGGGGAAAGTTTCTTATATAAAAACTATAAAAAAAATATAATTTAGTATTCGAACACGTCATCGGTTAATAGAAAAACTTACGAAAATACTTAATTGATAGTTTTTTAAAAAATTAGTGTATTAAAAAAATTCATTCATTCCATTAAAAAAAATAAATTATAATTTAATATTTTGAGAGTAAAAAATACATTATCAGTTAAAAAAAATTCTCAATTGACAATTTTAAAAAATTAATGTACTTAAATAAAAAATAAAATTCACATACATATTTAAAAAAATTAAATGTACTTATCCTTGTAATTATTCCGTGACTGTGGTTCTGCATTGTGTGAATAAGACACGTGGGTATAAATTGTCCCAAATTGAAGTGATGCCATCACTCGTAATTATTGGAGACCTTATGTCTCTACATTTATAATTGAACAGGGAATTGTCGTATCGGTACTTAAAATAATAGGATGTGGTTGAATTTTGAAGTCTGAATTCAGAATTTTTTTTTTAATTTTTTTACGAGGGGCGGACAATATGAGAGACAAAACTAAAATTCTAGAAGGGGAATGCTGAATAAAATAATAATAATAATTATAATAATAAATTAATTTTGAAATAAATATAATACAAAATATTTGGGTCCGAACTATTATTTTTCTATCAAATAATAATCAATTTGAATTTTTTTAATTAAAATTATTTCAATTTTTTGTACCTAAATGTAAATATAGACATGTATATGACACGTATATAAATTAATAACATAGACATGAATAAAAATTCTTTTATAATAAATCTTGTTTCTTTTTAACAAATCATTGCTTATCCAAATGATTAAAAAAAAGGGTAAGAGAATAACCAGAAATAGCCAATAAAATTTAACTAAGTATTAAATTTATTACTTTGATCATTTTTTAAGCCATTTAATTATTTTGAATTTTAATATTTTATTCTTTTTTGGCATTTTTTAAAAGAAAATAGAATTTCCCATGTCCTACACAGCCAAAAAAAAAAAAAAAAACAATTTTGGTCCGAGTTCTTTTACCAAGTCATCCTTACTTTTTGTGTATTTTCAAATAAAAAACAATTTCCCATGTCCTACACAACCAAAAAAAAAAAAAAAAAATTTGGTCCGAGTTCTTTTACCAAGTCATCCTTACTTTTTGTGTATTTTCAAATAAAAAACAATTTCCCATGTCCTACGCAACCAAAAAAAAAAAAAAAAAAAAATTTGGTCCGAGTTCTTTTAGCAAGTCATCCTTACTTTTTTGTGTATTTTCAAGTAAAAAACAATTCCCCATGTCCTACGCAACCCAGAAAAATAAAACAATTTTTGTCCGAGTTCTTTTAGCAAGTCATCCTTATTTTTCGTGTACTTTCAAATAAAATACTATTTACTTTTGAAAATCTCCTTTTGCTTTTGAACCGGAATAATAACATGAAAAACAAATCCATGTACATTTACCGCACCAACCCTCAGCTCAACTCAAGAGTCAATTGAATATAAGCTTGCGAGGTGTCAGTTGAAAGGCGCAAACACGCTTTCAGTCAAAGATTTGCGGTAAAGGAAAGAGCCTAGAGATTACACAAACCAAGGTTTTGTTTGAGACCTAACCAATCCTTGCCAAAAATAAAACTGCAACCCACTTAGTATTTTATGAATTCAATTCATTTTTATACAATTGGCAAGTTCCATTATTCTTTTTTTTCCTAAAAACGTAAAATTATTGATTATTTGCATTAGAATAAATTTATTAGCTGATATAAATATAATTGTTATATCGATTGTTTTAAAATTATGATAAAATCGAAATCTGTGATTGAAGCAATCCTAAATTTTTACATCTGTATCTGTAATTTGAAACTATAATTTTAAATACAGGTAATTGAATTTCTTGGTTACAGAAAGACATGCTGTCACTGATCCATTCAAAAGCCAAGAGAAGAAGTTGAAAGGAAGTCCTGAAAAACTCATTACGTTCACAAAACTAGACAGATAAATAAATTTGACAATAGTTTAACTTCTATTTGGGGATTGCTTTTTTTAACCAACCACGGGGCCGCTAGAGGCAGGAACTTCTGCATTTGAACTCATTTGCTTGCAATACGACTAGTGCAGCCTAGCTATTTCTGCACAAGCGTGTGAAATTCAAGGGAGGCCACACTTGGGCCTGTAACAGCTTCAGTGACCCTGACTAGAATTCTGGACCAGCGCACAGGAGAAGTTACTAGAAAGCTTTGCCTTTAACGCATGATAAGCACAACGCCTTCGAGGCAAAATTTCCTGCGAGTAGGACATTTTGTCCCATAGCAATGTAGTTCAAGGCTTCACTTCATGCCAGGGAACGACAAGGTAGTCAGCTCTAAAAAACCGAGTTATTAATTAGCCAGTGCCCAAAAACTAAACCAGAGCTACTATAACCCCAAACAAAACAACAAAAACAATAAAGATAAATTAGAAAACTTGAATAAGTTTGTGTTGAAAAAGTCTTCTATGTTGATTGTGATCCTTGATTATGTCAGTTTCTCTTCTTTAAATAGCCCATGATCAATAAATACCTTAGATTTGAAACTGGACACTAAAACTTATTGGTAACCGTCCATTGTTTTTTACAAACACGTTGCTTTGTCGAACTGATTGATTATAAAATTGAATATACTCGTTTCATTTAAATCTTATTGTTTCGTTAAGCTTGATCGGTTATAAGATCAAATGCATCGTTTCATTTAAATCTCACTATTTCGTCGAGCTTAGTTGATTATAGGATCAAATGCATCTGTTTCACTATATCATTATAAAATGATACCATACTTAATCAACACGTGACTTTTTAAATTTTGAGATGCTAACACTCACGCATTAAATAGTATTTTAAAAAGAAAAAAAGCCTCTTAGAATGAAAAAAAAAAACTAAGTAGTTTTTTTTTTTTTTTCAAACAATGGGTTTGCTTTAAATTTTTTTAGCTATGTAACGACAAATAAGCACATTGGATTTTTTTTTTTTTTTGAAAACTTTTAAGGTTTATGTTGGAAAATATTAAAACATTGGTGCTGAAGCAGAATATCATGGGATCTACAGGGATTAGAATATAATTAATTTAGCCTGTCTAGTTTTTGTTTAAAAAATAGCATACCTTTGGGAATGTATAAACTTTGTTGAGAAGGGCTCGCTGAGGGAGGAAAGCGTATGTGGTGATTGGAAAGGAACAAATGGGCCAAAATGATACTGTGCATAAGCAAGTCCCATCAAAAGACCAATTGCTCTAACACCATAGGCTGCTGGGCTATATTCGGAGAGCCCCACCTCAAGAAGTCCAATTGACCATCTCTTTTTTTTATTCAATGCATCATTAAAGGTTATGGGAACGTCACCAAGAAATGCAGGCCTATCAGGATCACAAGATATGGACTTCCTACCCTCGTATCGCATCCTAAACCCTGCGTGGGAATCCTCATACAATGATTTTATAATATTTAAAAGAAACTAAAAGATCTAGATTCTCCTATTCACTTACTGTTCATTGTGATACATGTTTACTGTTGAGAGGCTTCATTTGATATCAGCCGTTCATTTTGGATTTGTTTTTCATCCCATCCGGATGTTTGCTTCTTGATATTCTGCCCTCCTCAGTTCTTCTAAATTCCTCTTTTGCCATTATTTTTTTTTGTTGATTTACCCTTCTGCCTTTGAAGGTTTGTCTCTTCAGTTTGCTTTCTATCATATTTTAGTCTTTTCCTTCATTGGTGGGTCAGCCCTTCTCATTGCATTAAATGCGTTTTTCTTTTGCCTTTTTTTCTGATTTCATTCGGCTATTCTCTTCACCAATCAGCTTCAGTTTCCTTTTTACTCTTTTCCTTCATTGGTGGGTCAGCCCTCCTCATTGCATTAAATACGTTTTTCTTTCGGCCTTTTTCCTAATTTCATTTGGCTATTCTCTCAGCCGTTTGCATTAAATGCCTTTCTACATATTATTCCATTGTACATATTCTAAAGAAAACTAATCGCTTGTTTGGATATTTTCTCTTCAAATAAAAAAAAAAAAAAATTATTTTTCATTTATTGTTTGGATAAGAGTGAAAATAAAAAGAAAGAAAGTATATTTTTTTTATTTGAATAATTATAAAAAAAAGAAAGAAAAGAAAATATATTATTGTATATTTACTATAATACCCTTATGCTTATATTTCTATATTTAAATACTTATAATAAATTTGTATGAATATTTTTTTCATAAAAATAACATAAATGATAATAAAATAAAAATCTAGCATATAGCATCTATCCGAAATGATAAGATGGATAATAAATCGTCTACGTAGAATAATCGATAATCGTTTATTAATTAATTAATTCAATAGCAAAAAAAAAAAAAAATCAATCAATACGAAAAAGAAAATAGAATGACAATCTGAAATAATTTTATCTCATAATTTCTTAGGTTAAATGGCACAAACACTTCTTAAAATATATATATATATATATATATATATATATATATATATATATATTATACTTTGAGCTATAAAGTATTTTGATTGACATTTCTTGTGTTATATTCCATTCAATTTAGCCATCAAACATTACATGTAATTGAGATAGTTTTTTTAAAAAAATCATTCAAAGGAGTAATAGGAATTAATTTCTTAATGGTAATTTTATTATATCGTAAATAATTTTTTTTATTATAGTATTAATAGAGGTAAAATTTTTAACCAAAAATCATTAAAAGGAGTACTAGGAATTAATTTCTTAATAGTAAACCCAACTCTTATCCAATTACTAAAATGCCCGCCAGTAAGGGCAACCATGGAATTGACGGGAAAAAAAAAACAATCCACTGTAAAACGAAGAGAACCCCGAGAAGCCACAACCAGAAATCAGTAAAGAATGAGGTTTTGCTCTTAGAGAGATGGATGGGAATGGTTTCTTCAGGGTGGTTGCCTCTCTCTCTCTCTCTGAATGTTTGCAAAGCCTATGATTTCACCATATGATAATCAATCAAAAGCCCTGAGTTTGTGTATATGAATATATATGTATGTATGTATAGCTTCTTGATGTTTACTTTGGTAATTTCCATGCCTTTTATTCTTCTTCTTCTGCTCCTCCTTGTAGAGGCCGTGATGATAACTTTCCAGTAAAAATATGAGTCATTTTAAAGAAAACCTTCAATCATTTGGTAAGGCAAGTTAGGATTTCTCTGAGAAAATTACTGTTTTGTGACTTTACTCAAAGATTCCTTTCTTGCAGCCGTGGTTTTTGTGTTTCTTTTTAATTGTCTGATAAGTGGTACGGATTTGAGCCTCTCTCTTACAAGCAGATCTAACTTGATTTTTGCAAATCTGTTATTAATAAGAAAGGATGCACGAGGAAGAGATGATGACAGAGAAACAGCTTCAGCAAGAGAAAGAGAGATTGTGTTTATAGAGAAGAGATTATGGTAGAGAAACAGCTTCAACGAGAGAGAGATGGTGTTTGCAGAGAAGGGAATGGCTAAGGCAAGGGCAAAATTGTGAAAAATAAAAAAAAAATTCATCTCTCCTGTTTTTCTCCTCGTTTCCTCCAATTTTGGAGGAAAATGGGTCCCATCATTTTTACATTGTTTATTTTTTTCTTTCCTCTGGATTCCTCTACAATCTAAACGGGGGAAAACTTTTATTTTCACTCTATTTTCTTTCCTCTCCCCCGCTTTCATCTCTATCTAAACAGGGGGTAAAACAACTGGACTTATCACTGTTCATTTAATGTTTGTTTACACTTAGATACACTATAGATTAACACTCATTGCTACTGTTTATGCCTCTCAACTATTGATCTTCCATTTTCTCCTTTCACAACCGGTGGATTTGATTATTTTAGCTCCTTTCTCTTTTCTTTTTTTCGCCCAATTTCTCTTGGTTAGAAAGAGATAATGTAATCTCAGCAACCAATAGATTACTTCCATGTCATCTAATCTTATCTCCAATAATCTTCCCTTCATCATCCCTATGTTTGGATGAGGAGGAAAGTGGGGGAGGAAAGAAAATAGGAAGGAAAGAAATGTTTCCCTTCGTTTGGTTTGGAGAGAAAAGTAGTGGAAAGAAAAAAATAAAAAAAAATAAAATAGGTGCGACCCATTTTCCTCTCAAAATTGGGAGGAAACTGGGAGGAAAAACGTGGTACTTCTTTTTCTTTTTTTTTTTCGATCACGTTTTTGCCCTTTGCCTCTCGGTCGTCCCTCTCCTTTGCAAACCGTTGCAGTAACCAAATAGATCCGCAAATCAAGACAGGGTTACCGACATTACTTGCGCTTTCTCTTCGATCAACACTGTGTTTCCGAGCAGTGAGCTTACACCCACGATATTGGTGTTTCATCACATCCAACTGACCTCCGTATTGGTGTAAGCTTACACCAAATCCGCAAATCAAAAAGAAAAGTTCATCCAAAGTTGTAGCGTAAGCAGAAGCGGGTAATATGTTGTTTGATTTATTCTTTGTCTTTTATAAGATGTGTTGTGTTTGATCTAGAATGTGTGATGTCACTTCGGTTTGAAATTCAACGTTAAAATTAGACTAAAAATGAAAAAAATACACCATGTTCTTACTTTCCCGCCCGCGAGAACTTTCTAAAGTTTTACCTCCTCCCGTCAACATAGCGAGAGGGCGAAGACAGTGCCTTTCGGTTTGTGCTTATTATTTGTTATTTCCTTCGATTTAGTTACTTAGATTGGTATCATTTTGCAATTTGGTGTCAACATAGCAGAGGGCAAAGGACAACTGCCCTTGGTTTTAACATCCGAAAGCATGTTAGTGTACTTGCTCTTGCTCTCTAGTCTCGACTCTTTCCATACAACGAATGTTGAATCGAAAAGGGTTGTTTTTAGCACACACTTGTTACTACTGGTATGAAGAAGAGAGCGCTTGATCTTTAAAACCCTTTAAAACTCTATCAAGTTAGAGCTGGTAGATAAATTTTGCATTGATATGTGAATAAGGACACGGTTTAATTATTAGCTCTATTTTGGGTACATTTGATTCATTTTGATTTCTAAAACTCCTTTTCTCGGTCATCTTGTTTGAATAATTCCTTGACTTGTGTGGATGGACGGATGCAAATAGGATTGTGAACTCCAACTATGAATTTTCTCGTTTTAGATTCCAATTCTTTATTATTTCTTTTCAAATATGCTTCGAAGTAGCAAAGGATCGCATATTGGCCAAGTTATCTTTGAAACTCGCTAATATGTCTCATCGAGAGACTTGGTTGGTATTTAAATGACAAGTACATGTCTTTACGTAATGTTTTCTTTTTTATTCAAATGCGGAAGCACATGGTAGATGTCCGAGTATACATATAATTTTGGATTTGTGTGAACTACCACATATTCTTTGGATCACATTTCGGACTACAAGAATACATGTATGTGTTTTTTCTTAAGAACATTAGAGTGTTTCTTTATTTTATTTTTTTCTAGAGAAAATTCATAGTGTGTGGAATTGATTTTCTAATATGCCGATGCTGAATTGTATTGGCCTTTTCCTTATTTACCTGGTTTACATCTAAGTATAAGGTGTTTAATCGTGTATGAGCCTTTGAAAGGAACAAAATATGAATAACTAAATGGTTGGCTATAATGCGAGTAATTGAAATGCTTACTTTAATTCAAAACGTCTTTTAACTTCAAGAAAATATATATCTGACCGGCATGTTTTTTTACCTAACTTCTATGTTTTTAATATGTGGTTTCGGAGATGAAGATGAACAAGATGATTTTGAAGAAAGGATTGCATTGAAATTAGTTGAACGAGGAGGAAGAAGATCTCAATAAAATGAAGGAGGACGAGTACAAAGTGAAGGGAAACCATTCTTGAAAAATATAGAAATCAACGATTACTGACAACAGAATGATTTTTGTTGTACATGCTTGCTTGATGGGTCTCACTTAGATATGGTAACTTGATTGTTGAAATTTCATATTGTTATCAAGAAACATAATTCGGAATTGTCATTTTATGTGATGTGCATGTTCCAACGAGTACATGTAATTTTTTACAACTTAAACAGTTATAGTATTTGATATGGGATACTCCTAAATTCATCAAATAAGTTATGATTCTTATCAATTTTTGTGATAATTGATGAAAAATATATTGATAATTGTATTAAAAAAAAGTTATAGAAATAACTATTTAATTAATAAACTTAGCGATACTTTTTGACATCCCACCTAAATTACTAAAAATGATAATCATCAATTGAACCCATTGATATTAATATATATTGAAATGTCTCACACGTGCACCTTCATTTATTTTTTGTTTCATCAAAAATGGAAAAAAAACTTTATAATTTTTTCCTCAACATGTAATTGATGTTTTTTCAAAGAGAGAAGATGAAATGTAATTAACGTAAAATGGAAGCTTGGACTATCCCTTTTCAATTCTTGGTAGAT